AGAAAGCAAATTGTCAATAAGTAACCTTAATTACTTAGACTGACAGGTGAAAACAGTTTCCTCCAAGTGACCAAAATGACTTAGATATAACACTTTCTCTATTCTTTGGGTTTAGTAAGCCATAAAGAGTCAAAATAATTCAGTCACTCCAGTATTTTAAAATTTTGCTAAAATAAACAATATAGATTTCTGCCCTACAGGCTACACAGAAATCTTCAACTTTATCAAAATTGTGCCAATGAGATTTCAAACTGTTTTCCAAGGACAGCAAAACCTAATACGGCAGCCACAAGTCAGTAAGACAATACAGCATAACTGAAATGGCACTAAAACATTTTAAAATGTTTAAGTTTACCAAATCTATATTATCTTCTTCTAGAACGGTTTCAAGACTGTTCTAATATGATTTCAAACATTTTCTCAAAGGAGAGAGACAAATAGGCCAAAGTCATTAAAATATCAAAGCCTGGTACAAAGGTGCTAAAATATAACACGAACAATGCAGCACGTCGAGTTGTTATGACAGATTACATAGAAGCCAGTTCAAGTGTAATATACTTAGTGCCAATTTTTAAATCAGCATCAGGAAATACCAGGAAATAATGCTACTCCTACTTTAAAACACGATTTCAGGCATACTGATGACAGTAAGATTTTGGACCCCAGTGCATATAGATTATTTTCTCCTGTAACTGAATTTCAGGTTTTCAAAGAGTAAGTTACTGGCAGTTGTACGTGGTCTGAGATTGTAATCATCAAAATAAACTTTACACACATCAAGCATTTAAAAACTTGAAGTTCAAATATAAAATCATTCATTTCTCAAAAGCCTATATTAGTACTCTTTTGTTAAAATCAGCTTGAATTAAAATACCAATCAGTTTCACAGAGACCCATTTTATAATTCATTTTATCAGTGGGCTGTGCTTTGCAATGCCAGAGCAGAGCAACACAAGAAAGCTTCTATATAATTTTGGTCTGGCTTATCTGGTTTATCAAATGGGAGCCCTCTTTAAAACTGTATTTCATTAAAAATGGGTTAGCTGAATCATTTTTTCCACACAAACCATGAATGATTTGGTGGTAACACACATACCTTCCAAAGTAAGGATTAAATCCCCCTGGGTTACACTCCTAGCAGACTGACCATTCTTAAGTATCCTTTGTGTCCCAGACACTCTAATATGCATGGTATGGTGATGCCTACCTAGGAGCTCATGACCACGGGGAAGAAACACACATAGAAACAGACAAGTCACTGCATGTGAAAGCAAGCCTATAATAGAGACAGGTTATATAAAAGGACAAATGAAGGCATCCTAGAGGGCATAATGAGTGAGCTGAATCCTAAAAATTATCAGCAATTTTCAAATTAAAAAAGAGGAACATATTCCAGGCAAAGGGAATGTGCACAAAGTCACAGAAACAGGAAACAGCATCGTCAGTGGAGGGACTCAAGGCAGACCTGGCACCACAGAAGCACAGGGTGGAGAATGCACAGGGTAGCTGCAATCTGCTGTGGCTTTCAACGTCATGCTAAGAAGGATGGATAGTTTCTGACTGTAGATATGGAAGAAGCAGTGCATTTTAAAAGGGGAAGTGTCACGAAAAGGTTTCAGAAGAATACACTGTCAGCCTAAGAAAGAAAGAGATATGGAAGTAGGGAGACAAGTGCGGACAATACTGTGATTTATGAGATGAAGACAGGACAGATTAGAAAGAGTCAAGTACGATTTGGAGTTTTCCAGCTGAGAATTAACCCACTAAATAAATCTAAATAGATGGTGTTGAAACAGACAGAGAGAGAAGACAGGAAGTTAGGTATGAAAGTGCTCCAACTGTAAAGCACTACTCAATTACCAGCTATTATTCGGTAACTCAGTACCGTTACTTAGAGTGAAGCTTATAGTCATCATCTTTGTGTCCAATAAACAAACTGTAACGACCAAAATTTCTAAATTAAAAGGAAATAATTTACATACGGAGAGTTACCTCATAGCAAGCGTCAGCATCTAGACACGTGTAAACATTCTGCTGCATAGTTAACATGTCTTGCAGCAACATTCTCCAGTGAGACTCACCGACAGGAGGCTGCCTGGGGAAAACAAAAGAGAAAAGAAAGAAGAAAGTAATTCATGAAACTTCTCTCTTCAATTGGCCAAAAGCAAAAAAAATCAGTGCCACCATTCTGTACGCCAACACGGCTCCCAAATGGTCAACAGGAATGCATCTCACTTGAATCTCCAGGAAAACACTTTGATTAAAGATGGAGGGCAAGGCTGGACAGCGACGCATCAACGCCAGAGATGCTCCAGAGCTGCTCTGTCCTAGGCTGCCTAGACGCAATGGAACAGCATTCAACAGTAACAAAAGGGAAAGAAGCCGTGAGTTTCTCAGGTAAAACGAAGCCCGGTTAGATAAAGCAGCTGTGACACAGCAGAAAAAGCACCTGGAGACAGGACAATCAGCTTCGGATCCCATCTTCATCACTCTGCAGTCGCCAGCAGGGCATCCTCTTAACCTCAAACACACATGCAGACCCAGAAGGCAACCAGAGGCCACACCTGGCTGAGAGAGGGCGGGAGTAACAGCAGCTCGCCCCCAGGGCAGCCTCGATAGTTGCTCTCAGTGGGAGCCCTCGCAGGGGTCCACAGGGCATCCAGCACCGGACGGAGCGCTGCAGGGGTTCTCTTCCGCCCAGGTGACAGCCCAGGTGCAACAACAGAGAGCCCTGCAGGGTAGCTGCCGTTCCTATCAGGCTTAGGAAGAAGCGCCATGCCCCACAAAAGCCAGTACCTTCTGTAACAATTTCACAGGCATGGCTTTCAGGGTCCCCTCAAGGACATGGCAGTGACCACACACGGGAAAACCCCAAGTACAAACCCCCTATCTGGTTTTCTAGCTCATTTACAGCTCTTTCAGACAGAAGCAATTTACCAATCAGGGATCAAGCAGTGAGGCCCACAATCAAATACCATTTCATGTCAGTATCCAGAGTTACAGAGTTAGAGAATTAATGGGTCGGGGTCTCCTGCAGCAGGGGAAAGGGTTTTGTCAACAATGTCACAGACAGTCACGTATCAGCTGTGGGATTGTGAGGATTTAATAAGCCTGAATTTCAGTTTTTCTCACTTAGAGCCCATCTGAGAGAGTGGTAAAGAATGGATGAGATTAACTTTGATAAAACACAGGCACTGAAGCAAGATTTTTCCTAAGTATAAAAACAAGCTCAATTACCTGTATGGATTTGAATAAATTTCTTAATTTCCTTTAACTTTAGATTCCCTTTTTGTATATGGTGAGGATTAATTTAAACTAGAATGTATGAAAAGACACTCCTCATATTTTTCTGGTATAAAACTGTATTCAATAAAAGTGAAGGAATGAATCTGAAAGTTACAAACAGATTTTGTTTGTTTTCCTGTAGTCACACACATAATCACTAAATATTGTCTACCAGGAGGGAGAAGATGCTGTAATCCTCTCTACCTCTCTCCAAAGTTCATCTTTCTTGAATATATATGTGAAGTTTGGAACCATCACATGTTTATTTTCTAGTCTTGAAGTTCTACATAATCATGAATCTCATTGTTTGAAAAGGGTAGGTTTTGTTCTGTTTTGTGGGTGTCAAATACCAACTGGATGTCTCTTCTCCATACATCTTTTTCTTTCTTATGCATTAAGGGCAAATAGAATGTGTCTAACAGCATTGCTATGGAAAAAGTATGTATTGGGGGATCATTCCTGTAAAAATTCTAGTCTTCAGGAATTTTTTCACCTAAAATTTCTAATAACCATATGTTTCATTTGCTTACAGCATTTTATATTTGTTATGCAAGATGGGCAATTATTTCTGTCCCATATGCAAAAAAAGCTTAAGAGAACACATTTTTCCCCCAGCATACAAACACACAAAACAAACTGACATATTTGCAAGTCGTCCAGGATAATCCCTGGTATGTCTCCACTATTTAGACCACGTGAACTCCTTGGGTGGGCTTCAAAGACCTGAAGGGCTCTGTCAAATTTGAATCGCAGGCAGGTAAGCAGCAAAATGTTTGACGAAATGAGTGTTCATCTTGCACCAGCTTCATAAAATTAGACCTGGGCATTGTCTAGCTAAATTCAAGTTCTCCCAGCCCAGCTGTTCTGGAAGCCAGCAACAGTGGGACAGATGGTATTAATGTTTTCTCACACATGGTTAGCTGTAAGTACAGGTTCTAATTAAAATAAATTATAAGACATTATTTCCAGTGGCCTTTTCAGAATATATTCAGTAAATAAGAACCAAGAGTAGAACTTGGAGGCACTATACGAGAGGTTTGCAAATTAACAGAGAAATACTTGAATACGAACATGAAGTATTAGTTACAGCTTTGGAATGGAGGTGGATTTTCCTGGGAAAAACAGTCTTGCACTCAAGATAGTAAAACCTGATTTGTGACAGATTCAATGAAATCTGTCACCATTTAGAATATGCATAAGAATATTCTAAAGGTGCTGAAGGCCAAGCCATGGTAGTGTATATTAAATAATTAAGATTCATTTCAAGTTGGCTACTTTGAAAAAAGAGGCCATATTCTCTGATACAGTCATAGTAAGTAGAAAGTCATAAGCAGAAATTAACTTCAAGGACTGCAGAAGTATCTGAGGGATTCAATGGAGAGCCAGCAGGTAATGCAGCAGCAACAGCTGAAGAGCAGGTCCTAGAGGAGAGCCAATGTGATGGGAAATACTGACCATTCATTTATAGTTGTAAAGGAAGTTTAAGACTTACACTGTCAAACTTTCTAAATTATTCATTTAATAATTACTGAGAGAAGGCCACTGATATGTGAGGTTCCAAATTAGATGCGTGGTGACAGTAACACTTTCCCTACATAAACGTATGATTTCTCAGGGAATATAAGGCATACAAATCACCAACTATAGTGAACTGTCAAAAGAGAGACAAGGAGACTGTTTTAAGACTTACATAAATCTACTATAATTAATACAGTATGATTAGAGGAAAGACAGACAAATAGATATAGGACCCCAAAATAGGCCTCCATTATATGGAAAATTGATTTTCAACAAAGATTCAAATGTACATGACTATTTACAGCACCTATATTTGTAAAAGCCAAAACTCAAAAGCAAATGTCCATCAACAAGTGAATAAACAAAATGAAGTGAACCCATCAATGGAATAGTAGTCAGCAAACAAAATGGAATAAACTTTTGATCCATGACACAGCATGGATGAATCACAAAATAACCATGCTGAGTGAAAGAAGCAAAACAAACTTTTGTGACTCCATTTACATAAAATTCTAGGAAATTCAAAGCAATACACAGGGACAGAAAATAAATCACTGGCAGCCGGAGGAGGGGCTGGGCATGTGGTGAGGAGAAGCAGAAGAAGGGGCGGGATTATAAACGAGCAAAAGAGAGCTTTTAGGGGTGATGGATATGTTCATTATCCTGAATGAGGTGATGGCTTCATGGACATACACACATACCATAACTTACCAGATACTTCTATACTTTCCATATGTGCAATTTATTGTTGGTCAACTATAACCCAAAGTTAAAAAAAAAAAAAGAGCAGTACTTATTTTTAATCATATACAATTATCAATTAATTTTGTTTATTACTTACTTCCGACCGGTGTGCCTGGTCAATCTAACCATCAGCTTGCGTGCCTCTTCTGAGCTAGACTGAGTATTTTTAACAAATGAAATTGGTTTCTCAAGTCCATGTTTCTCCAGAATCTCTGACACACTGTTAAGTGAATGAAGAATTTTTAAAGAAGTCTTGCTACCACACAAAAAACTCTAATAATTTTAAACATATAAGTAGCACTTAGATGTTAAGTATTAAAAAAAAACAAAAGCAGCACATGAAATGACCCAATTTTATGCATAAAATTCTCAGCAAAAAAAAAAAAAACCCTAATAGTTATATATCAAATCTTATTACCCCTACTGACTTTTACTACAATATAAGGTAATACATTTTTTAAAGTAAGTCAATATATTTTTTAAAAAGCCTGGTATATCCTTATTTCAAAATCTTTTTTTACAATTTTCCTGTACTATAAAAGCATCAAGTCAGCAAAATAAGCCAAATCTATCATTGCAATACCCAGCTTTAACTCTTAACAACCCTAGTGAGTATTTTGTCACAGGCAAGGCTGCTAGAAAAGCAATAAGCAAAGAATTTTATAGTTGGAGAACCATAGAAACACCATAAGGCTCAATTTCCCTCAAGAATCCACCCATTCCATAAACAAACAAGATTCTTGTTCTCATATGAATCTTCTTGAGATATCCCATTCCATAATCATCAGCATTGTATATATATCTTGTCTCACACTTATGAATTAACCACCACTGGGCTTAAAAAGAAGCCAGACAGAATTCAGTAACTCTTCATAAAGATACATTTCATGGGTCATGTCACCTGACAATATGTACAACTGAAACATTTATCAACTATTAATGGCTATGAGGTAGAACAGGAATAAAAAGTTCTCGTTTTAAAAGGTCAGTAAATCAAGCTGAACAGTGAAAGATCTCGGTATCATCCAGAAACCTATACGGTGTTACCGTTTTCTTGAGGTATTAAGAGCACAATCTGACTATCAAAACACCCACGGTTATACCCAGGAGCATTCAGTGAAATAAATGATGTTTATTATGAAATAATAATTTTTATGAAACAAATGATGTTTATCATACTCTCTCTCTTTGACAAAGCTCTTTTTAATTTCATTAGGGAAACAAAGGTAGCCATGCAGATTTGTAAGAAATGAATCTATATTAACTTAATCCATTAAGCTTTGGTCAAACTATGCTTATTTTTCAGAGAGGCCTGGGGGAGGAGAGAGACACCTAATTATTAGATTCCAAATCTTATACTTTACTATACACATTACCACTATCAAGTGATGTCATTACCTATAATTTCTGTAATTATATATTGGAAGAACAAAATTTATTATTACTAAAATTTTATTTTTAATGCAAATGCTTAAAAATTACACATAAGTACATTATGTAAACATGTAAAACAGAATACTAGTAAACAATATTAGGCTGTCTGAACAGCAAATCACAAGTTTTCAGTCTCCAAAAGAGACAGTTTAATGTCTCATTTCACAGTAAAGAATATTGATAGAGTTACCAATATAACCCAGACATTCAGTAAAGTGTCCTGTACCCAAAAAAGGAAAGTTAAGGGTATAACAAACACTGTTTGCTGACATTGTAATAACTGCTGCAGGAACTAAAATTTCTTATCTACCTACTATGTGTCAGGCACTTTAAATGCTTCATCTAATATTAATTCTGCAATCTCATGAGTTAGATATTATAGATAAGAAAACCCTAGGCTCAGAGAGCACACAGCT